TGAGGCACAAGCTGCAAATGGTTGGAAATACCCAGATGTCCCTTCGTGGACCCTAAGAAATCACTGCATTCTTAGCAAATCCAGATACTTCTCTGCTTAGCGTTTCACAGTTCGCTGATAACATTTCATATATGTCTGATCTCTCTCCTTTCAGGGCACGCACACATGCTGGTGGTCGTTTGAAATCTCACTTCACACATACTAAACATTGTATTTAAAATTTACTATTGGGTTGAGTGTGGTGGCTCACGCCTGTAATCCCAGCATGTTGGGAGGCTGAGGCTGGAGGATATAGCTTGAGTTAAGGTGTTTGAGACCAGCCTGGGCAACATAGAGAGAGCCCATTGCTACGAAAATAAATAAATAGATAAATAAATAAATAAATAAATAAGTCTATTATTGATATATGTTTGGGCTGTTTCTCTCATTATCTTTTTTTTTTTTTTTTACTCTTAGAAACTATGTTGCAGTGAATAATTTTTCAGCCAACTTTGTGCACGTAGGCAAATATTTCTGTGGGATGAAAATCCTAGATCCGGAACATTGTGTTGACGACTATGTAATCTTTAAATGTTTAACAGATTGCTAAATTGCTACTAACAAGGACTATTGAATGCCCACTCTGCCAACATGGCAGGAAGGTCACGTATCTATCCAGCATTGTTATTGTGTTTAACTTTTTTCCAATGTGTAGGAGAACAGTGGCATTTCCTTGTTGGGTTAAATTTTTATTGTGGAAGAGCATAACCATATTCTCACATGAGTAGCAGAGACATTTATATTTATTTTCTTGTGATTTGTGTTCATGACTTTCCCTCAGATTTTCTATTGGATATTTTGTCTTTTTAAACTATTTTCTCATGAGAGCTCTTCGATATTATGAAAATTAAAATTTCCTGTGTCACGTTTGTCACATGCTTACCACTTTTCTCACCCCACACCCACTAGCATGGCTATAATATAAAAGACAGGTATCAAGTGTTGGCAAGGACACAGAGAAATTGGAGCCCTTGTACACTGCTGATGGGAATGCAAAATGATGCAACTACTTTGGAAAGCCATCTGGCAGTTTCTCAAAATTAACATACTGTTATTATATGACCCAATAATTCTACTTTCAGGTATATACTCAAGAGACAGAAAAACATATGTCCACATGAAAGTCTGAACATGAATGATCATAACAGTATTTATTAAAAACAGCCCAAAAGCCAAAACAATAGCCAAAATAACTCTACTTCTCATTAATGGATAAATAAAATATGGTATATCCGGACAGCAGGTTATTATTTGTAATAAAATAATACAATAATGTAATAAAATAATAAGTAGCAATATAGGTACAGCCTGGAGGAAGCTTGGAAACATGCTCAGTGAGAGAATCCAGACACAGGATAACACACCACCATTCCATTTCCATGCAATGCGCAGAAGAGGGACATCTGCGAAGAAAGCACATTAGTGGCTGCCTAGGGCTGAAAGGGGATGGGGAAATTGACAGAAAGACTAAAAAATTTGAGGTTTCTTTTTAGGGTAACAAAAATGTTGTAAAATTGATTGTGGTTTGGCTCTGAAATTCTGTGAATATACTAAAGTCATTGACTTGTACACTTAAACGGGTGAGTCCTATAGTGTGTGAATCACCTCCGGATAAATCTATTATAAAACCCCTTCCTCATTATCAGGGAGCCCATTCGTGCTGTGGATGATGGTGGTCCCAGCTGCTCCTGGCCTACACCTCCTAGGACTTTCCTATCTGGGCCCTTCCTAAAATCCTGGTTATCCTGATTCATGAGCAAAGTAAAATGCTTTCTATGAGGCAATAGTTCCTGGAGCCACCAGCACCTGTGGTCCTGATGACCCCACCTTAGAGCGTGTTTGGTGATGTGAACATTGACAGGAAGGAGGAGCTATGCCAAGAGGCGAGAAGGGCTGCCTCCTGTCCCTACGCCTTGGGGCCCACGCAAAGGCCCTGGGACCTCTAAGGGGCCCACCCCCCAGCCCTGAAGGAGCCCAGGAGGGTTCTGGTTCCCTTGCAGGCTGTGGGTCCACACCAAGCACAGAACTCGGCAAACACCGCCTCCCTCCTCTTCCTTTAACCAGGCCCCTCCCCTGTGCAACGCGGGGCGGAGGACGCAGCCGTCTCTCGGCTCTCTGCGTGTAACCTCCCCTGGAAACTTGTGTTCTGCTTTGGGCACAAGACATCAGGTAGTAGGTGGATCGGTATGGTAGTTGGAGTGACGTGTCACCATGGGCCAGCTGTTTTCAGGCAATTGATGTGCGGCCAAGAGGGGAAATGAATTCCTTGTGGGTAGGTTGTCCGCTTGAATTCTTGGTTCGCTTTGAGCCAAGACAATTGAGGAAATTGTCTTTTTCTTCTGTCTTTTAAAGTGCTGTTTCCATAAAAGAGTATTTAGCCCTTTACCAAATAGGTTCTAAATGACTTATTCTGTGTTCTGTTTCCTTTTCGGTCTTTGTGGTGTGTGTGTCGGGGTATGTGTGTTTATGCGTGTGTGCACACTATACAAAATGTGTAGCCAGATTTATTATTCTTTTCCGTTGGCCTCTGTGTGTTGTATCTGCTTAGAAACGGCTCCTAGTAGAGCATGCAATTCAGTTTCAAACACTTGAAATTTAACCCAGCGATTATCAGGCCTGACTTTCTGTTTGGAATTGGATCTCAGGTCTGATGTGCTTTGGGCTGATCTGTATTTTATCTTGCAAAGAGAAATATTAATTTCCAGACTTTTGAGTTCTTGGGAGCTCCCCTACTGTCACCTAGGCAAGCCCTAAATGCAGAGTAGGATGGAGTTCTACTCCTCCACGGAACCTGGCTTGGCAGATAGATGGCAGGTCCTGAGATCACAAACAGTGGAGAGAACTGTGTCCCACGGAAGCAGAATCAGGAATGCTTACCTGGGACAGGTGACAAGATGGGAGACGACAGGGCTGACAGGTGGGAGGCATCTGTTCTGGCTCTTCTGGGCTACACTGTTCACGCCACAGAGGTAGCTTAGGCCGGCATGGCCATTGACATCTGACACCTTCTACCTGGCGTGTCCGGTGGCAGCTCTTGTCAGCTGGTGGCCTCTTAGCTCCTGGCCAGGCACCTTCCCGAAGACCTGCTAGTCCCAAAGTCCTTGAGCCTGGCTCTTTGGTGGTTCCTTCTGCTTCTCAGACCGTGGCATCGCGTAATGGGGCTCTGAAAGACATGACCATCGAGGTGCTGTCACGTGTACCTAGCACAGTCCAGAGCACAGAAGTTTAGAAAGTCAGCAGGTGTGGGACAAGGGTGAGGGACTTGGTTGCCAGTGGTCAGAGGCGCCCTTCACTTGAGCAGCATCAGAGGGGCTGGGCTGACCTCACAAAGGGGCCTCGGGTGTGACCACCTGGCTGGGGAGTGGAGCCACAGAACAGAAGCACCTGGAGTGCAGACCCCAGCAGACACTCTGACCAGGCATAGGGGCATGAACTGAGCGTGCTGGGGTCAGAGAACAGCCAAGGGGTGGCTAGCAGCTAGCTCAAGTCCTCCGGAAGAAGGGGACAGTCGGGGCGGTTGGCTCAAGGACCGGCAGGCAGGACCGCGGCGAAGAACTTGGATCTGAGGTGGGCCCATGGTGTAGCTGTGGTGTGTGTACGAGAGTGGCCTCCAAGCCCACCCTGGAGGGTGATCCAGAGACCATGGAGCAGAAAGGTTTACTTGTCAGAGTGAGCTTCTGGAAGCCCACCAGTGTCAGATCAGTGTAAAATAAGAAGCGCGAAGGGGGTGGACAGGTCAATGTGCTTAAAACACAGGGAAGTGGGGTGACGGTGAGGAGACCCCCGCCTGGCCCTGGGTCCTCCATGTTCACAGCTCCCGTCTCTCTCAGCCACATCAGCTCCCTGCTGATGATAGGGTTGGGGGACCATGGTGGACACTTGGGCAAGAGTCCTGGAGATGGACGGTGCTTGTCAGTCACACACACTAGTTTATAAACAGATGCAGGCAGGGCTGCCCCGCCCAGCTGATGAGCCTCCTGCACAGCTGAGGACTCGATTTGCATTTCTAGGACAGAGCATATAGGGTGCCAGAGTGACGTCAACAGAGGGTGGCCAGATTAAGATCTCATGAGTCTTCTGGCTATGTGTAACTCGCTTATGTTTAGCGCTGATGGATATCATGTGCCTCTTAGCTTTGCCGTCACATTCTGTGTTCAACTTAGATAGACACTACTTCCACACACCTTTCATTCACACAACTTACGACTTCTGCGTACGTCTGTATTTGCTCACTCTCTATACTTAATGCACCTTAACTGGTTTGCCTGTCTTACAAACTACATGCTCATTTATATTCTGTAGTAGAACTGGATATCCTCAAAAGCCAATGTGCATTCCAGGCTGTTATCTACATGTGTGCATCTCTTAGACTGAGGCAGGTTCCGAGGTGGGGGGAAGGGCAGGGCCTGAGTGAAAGAGCGGATGCTTCCATCAAGCAGGCTTAGGTGCTCTCTTGACCTCTAGATGAGTGCCATTTTCCTCCTTCATAAAGAGGTTACGCACTAAACGGCCCCCATGGGGGATGGCAGTGATTACATAGGACACATGAAGTGCCTAAGAAACTCTCTCAACCCTCTCCTTCTGAGGCTTTCATGGAGGCTCCATTTCATAGGCATGGTTGATTAATTCACCAGTTGTTGGTGATTGACTCAATCTTCGGCCCCTCTTTCCTCCCTGGATGTGGAGGGTGGGGCTGAGAGGACCCACGAGGAGTCACCTCATTAGCATACACTCGGGTGGGGTTGAAAAGGGTATATTAGAAATCACCCTTTTCAACCCTGAGTTGCTCCTGTCACATCCCAACCACTCAGGGGATTGCAAGGGTTTTAGGTGCTTCCTGCCAGAAACCTGCGGCGAAGACCAAATGTATGTTTCTAATCCTATTACATATCACCACTGTGTTAACCAAAGTTCCTTCCTTTTAATCAGCAGTGCCAAGAGGAGCCGGGGTGTCAGCATCTCTGCATCTGAAAGGATAGATGGCGCCTGGCCTGTGATCCTTGGCTGAGGCGCCATGGTCAGGCTCTGCCAGGCCCTGCTGCTGCTGGTGGCCACTGTGGCCCTTGTGTCCAGAGGAGTCCATGCCTGGGGCTCAGTGAAGATGGTGAGGACATTCCAAGATATCCCTGAAAACTACGTCTATGTGCAGCAGGCACTCTGGTTCGCCATGAAGGAGTACAACAAGGCCAGCAGGGACAAGTTCAGCTTTAGGGTGCTGAAGGTTCTAAAGAGCCAGGAGCAGGTGGGTGGGGTGCTTGCTCCTTGTCCTTTCACCCCCCACCCTCAGTGTCAACAAACAGAGTCAAATTCTGTAAAATATTTAAAGGGGTTTATTCTGAGCCAAACGTGAGTGACCGAGGCCTGTGATACACCCCCAGATGGTCCTGAGAACATGAGCCAAGGTGGTTTATAGCTTAATATTGTCCATTTTAGGGGGACAGCAGTTACAGGCATATATCAATCAATACACATAGGTGTATATTGGTTTGGTTCAGAAAGGCAGGACAACTCGAAGTGGGGGCTTCCAGGTCATAGGTGGGTTAAAGATTTTCTGGTGGTCAACTGGTTGAAAGAGTTAAGTTGTTTCCTGAAGACCTGGAATCAGTAGAAAGGAATGTCTGCGTTAAGATCAGAGGTTGTGAAGGCCGAGGTTAATCGTGCAGATGAAGCCTCCAGATAGCAGACTTCAGAGAGAATAGATGGTAAATGTCTCTTATCAGACCTTAAAAGGTGCCAGACTTTTAGTGAATTCTCTTCTGGATCAGGGAAAGACCTGGGACAGGAAGGGGATTCTCTACAGAATGCAAATTTATCCCCACAAGAGCTGGTTTTGCAGGGCCATTTCAAAATCCATCAAAGGAGTATATCTTCGGGTAAAATGCTTCTTTCAAGACCTGCTATCTGTCACAGATGCTATACTACAGTCAAGTTGGAATTTGGTATTTTATTGCTACAAAGAGTATGTTTCGTCAGTCCTAAGACCTCTGTTTTTTTTTTTTTTTTTTTTTTCTTTTCTTTTTTAAAGACCGGGTTTCACCATGTTGGTCAGGCTGGCCTTAAACTCCCGACCTCAGGTGATCTGCCCGCCTTGGCCTCCAAAGGGCTTGGATTGCAGGTGTGAGCCACCACGCCCAGCCCAAGACCTCTGTTTTAATGTTAAAGCTGGTCAGTTGTTTCTGAATTCCAAAGGGAGGAGGGTATAATGAGGCATGTCTGACCCCTCTTCCCATCATGGTCTAAACTAATTTTTCAGTTTTACTTTGGAATGCACTTGAGTGAGAGGGGGTCCATGCAGCCATCTGAGAGGTCTTAGAATTTTATTTTCAGTTTACATAAGTCAGAACAGAGCCCATTATCTGTGGATGGCTATTGAAACTAGGAATGGGAGACACAACTGGAGATGCCTTTAGCCGCAATAACAAATTCTATTTCATTGTTTGTTTTTCTGAGATGGAGGTGATACATAAAATATCCATTAAAATCACTTAAAAGTGGTATAGTCACATCAAAAAGTAGAGGTAAGAGCCCAGAAGGCAGGTTGAAGGGAGGAAGTTTGGACCATCTGTGCCTCATCAATGTGGGCTGCGGCAAGGATGGGTTAGGACACAGCAAGCGAGATGAGAAACCTCAGGTGCAGCTGATGCTGGGAAAGGCTTGACAGAAGGGAGGCTCCTCTTTACGGGAAAACCTCCACTCATAAATGTGAAAGAAATGGCCTAATTGAAATGTATGCCAGCTTCTAGTTGTATCTTCTCAGCCTCACCCGAGTCATAACTATTTCAGGAAAAGATCATCAACCAATCCTACAACCACTGGGGGAGAGTGTTTGGTGTGAACCATTGCAGGGATCAATCAGGAAATTCGATCAGCACCTTTCTCACCATATGCTTACCACCAACACCGAGACAAGTTGGCATCACATACTTCCTGACACCGTGTGTGCAGAGCGGATGACAGCCCCTGTGTATGGTATTCTTGCCCGGAATGCATACTTTGAATGTAATCAGAGGAAAAATTAGACAAATCCATAATTCAGGGCATTCTATAAGACCACTGAAAATATCAATATCATGAGAAACGGAGAAAATACTAGAAAATTGTTCCCCAGCAAAGGAGACTTGAGAAGCATGACAACTGAGTGTAGTAGTTGGTCCTGTGTGTTCTGGGGGTCAACTAGATATTCAGTCTGGCTTATGAATTTGAAAAGGAGAGCTTCGTTTTTCTAAAGGCCCAACTAGAAAATTAGGTCTTTAGAGGAAGGCCTGCCGGGTGGCCATTCTGACAGGCTGGGAGCTGTAGCCTCTGACAGAAGCTGGAAAGAGTTACTTCGAGGGGAGAAGTGTGAGACAGGAATCCATGCTGAATAGGTGGGCTAAGTATACATGTTTAATAAACTATAGGAGGAGTCATGAGTATTCATGAATGAAAAGCATATCCATGCATAATTGATCTTCATGCCTCTTCATGGGTTGCATATTCAAAAAATGATGGTATTGGCATGATCCCAAGGTGGATTTTCAGCCCTGTGATGGCAAAAACTGAAGCAGTCACAAAAACCCTCACTGTGCGCCCTCCACGTCAGCCAAAACCAGCCCAGAGATGGTGGCCACTTTTCAGGAAGGGATGCCTTGTGAAGCTGCTGAGCTGTCACATCAAAACGCAAAGAAGGAAGGGGGAGTCTGGTCTTGGCCTCAGATGATTGACCAATGGCCATAAAAAAATGAGTTGTTCATTTCTTGTTTTCCAGTGCTGATTTCTGCTTACTCCTTAGGAAATAATTCAAATTAAAGGTTAATGAGGAGGGCACACACTGAGGTATGCCTGACCTCCCATCCCATCCCGGCCGGAAGCTCAGTTTTCAAGGTTTCTCTGGGGTCCCCTTGACCTAGAAACGGTCTGTTCAGTCCATTGGAGGTTTAGGGTTTTATTTTTATTTCTCATTGGATTTATAAAGGATGTTATTAGGGCAATTGATGAGACTTTAATCTGGCCTGTATAATAGATGAGAGTCTTGTACCTGCGTTGAATATCCTGTGACAGGTGATTGTCCTGTGGTACCCGAGAAAGGACGTGGTGGAACACTGTGAAGGCCAGGGAGTGAGACCCGTCTGCTGGCGTCTGGGGAGTGAGAGGGTGGCAGAGGTGGAAGGCGACACCGAGCTCGGGCCATGGAGGCGCTGACATGAAGTGCTCATCTCTCTGCCACCTTCCCTTTGACCTTTCCTGTCCACGTGTCCAGGCTGCCAGGACACCTGCCCTGCTTTCTTGTTTTCTGTCTGACTAGGAGAGAAGGTTCATTGGGAGGCTGCATCCCCCATAGTGCTGCGACATTCAGCCTCTTCTGCACCTTGCCATGCTCTGTGGGGACTGTGGTTCCCTCTGGTTCTTTCTGTGGGTCTGGTTATGTTGCTTGTGTTCCTTGAGTGAGGACACCTGTGACCAGGAATGTGCCACCAGTGGGCCAGATGAAAACCTAAGAACACAGGCTGCCTGCAGCCCTCAGGCATGCTTAGTGCCTGTTCTCATAAGTCCCCACCCTCCAGAACTATTTCACGTTCTTGGGTTTCTCCATATCTATGCTTCCTTACTTACATCAATAAAACAGTGCTTTTGGTTTATAGGCAGATGTTTAATAATACAGTAAACCAAATACCCAGATATCTAAAAAATTATGTACCATTTTGTACTGTTTCTTGTTTTTTTTTTTTTTCTGTGAATGAATGTTTTATTTTTCAGTTCGCCGTGAGCTCTCGAATGCAGGTAGTAATTCAAAAGAATCAGGTAAAAACAAATTCATTAAGAGACTACAACACAAGTATTTAAAACTCCTTGACCTTACAGCTACAAACTGCTGGAAAAGAGCACAGAAAGAAATTTTTTAAAAATGTACCATCCCCCAAACAACACAACATCAAAGAAAAAGAAAATTCTTGGTGACAATTCAACTTAAACTTAGTAATATACACATAGGCTTTATGAAAAGAAAATAGCCATGTTTTACTGGGAGATTTAAGTTAACAATACAAAGATCTGTATCAGAGATTGGCCTGCTGCAGGCTTTTAAACAGAGTGGTTACGGAGACAGCCTGCAAAGCCTGAAGTCTTTACTACCAGGCCCTTTAAGGAAAAGTTTATAGATGCTGCTGATTCTTTTCTTTTCTTTTGGATATTTGAAACAATTTTATTTATTTTTTTCTTGACATATTAAACGTTTCTATTTGTTTGTAAGGTGCATAACATGATGTTTTGCTCTATACATTGTGAAATGATTACCAAAATCAAGCTAACGTGAGTGCTGGTACCAATCAGCACCCCATCCCCAGCAGCCTGGAGCCACAGGGCAGTGAGAGAATTCTAGTTTACTCGGCACCAGTGCTGGTTGCTTTCCCCAGGTGCACTCAGGTCTCACAGCTCACCACATTAGAACTATTTTCTTATACTTTACAGAGGAAGAAACAGTCACAGAAAGGTTTAGTAATTTACCCAGAGCCACACAGCTAGTAAGTAGAACAGCCAAGATTTAAAGCCAGGCTGAGCCAGGCGTGGTGGCTCACACCTGTCATCTGAGACTTTGAGAGGCCGAGGCGGGAGGATTTCCTGAGCCTGGGATAAGCTTGGACAGCATGGCAAGACTTCATCTCCAAATTAGAAAAAAAAAAAAAAAAAAAAGAAGTAAAAGTAAAAGAAAATTAGCCGGGTGTGGTGGGCCCTGCCTGTAGTCCCAGATGCTCCGGAGGCCGAGGCGGGAGGATTGCTTGAGTCCAGGAGATTGAGATTGTAGCAAGCTGAAGTTGTGCCACTGAGCTCCAGCCTTTTTTTTTTTTTTTTTTTATCAAAAAGGTAAAAGAAAATAAATTAAAATAAAATAAACTCAGGCTGCCGTGCTCTTCTTCATCAGCACCTGCCTCTGAACAATGCTTAACGGAGCCAAGGTGGTGAGAAAAAAGTGCATCCTCAGGGGACGGCAGGGAAGGGACTTTCAGATGGCCAGGAGTCACAGCGCCTGTCTGTGTGAAGGCTGAGGGGCTCCTCCGCAGCCAGAACGCCACCTGCCTCCTATTTCCTGAGCAAGTGGGGGTCAAGATAGGGTTAGTGGTTGCTCGGCAGCTGATGAGTATGAATTAGAGTTGTTAGTTTTTAATTGTCATTTCAGCTTAGACGTATGACTCAAATATACGTCAGTGGTTTGCAACTGTGGGTAGCTTTCGCTCCTTAGGGGAGCTTTGGCAATGCCTGGTGACA